ACTAATTATGATTTTTTAGAGCCTAAATCTTAAAATTCTAAACTTAAAAAATCTTTTGACCCCTAAAACCCCTAAAACCCTCAAAACTATACCCTAATACAATATAGTTAACCCAAACATAAATGATATAATGAATAAATAATTTTTAAAAAGTGGTATTTTTGTAAAGATTGTAAAAATGTGGCATTTTTGTAAAACGACACTTGAAAATTGGCATTTTTTGAAATTTCTCAAAAAATTTTGGATTTTTTAATTTTTAATGATAATAATTACAAATTGGTTCCAGATTGATAAATATTTATGAAAAACATTAATTTTGTAGTTTTTAACATGTTTACATATATTTGGTGTATATCACCATGTGTTACATAATAGTCTGTGTAGTCTAGGAGACATTTCTATATTTGAGATGGTTTGCAACATATTAACCAATACTTAGCGTATTTAAGAATGATTTTTCCTATATTTATGCTTAGAGAAATGTCAAATAACGAAAAATATAGAGAAGAGAGTTTACGGTTTGTTTAATAGCACCAGGAATGGCGTCGAAGAACGCAGGCCAGCCACAACCAGAGTCGAATTTGGTTGTTGATTTATAAAGAGCATTTCCACAACCAACACAAGAGTATGTCCCTTCCTCGTAGAATTTTATATACTCTCCTTTGCCTCGTTTCCTAAAATCACAAACCATCAATTACAACATGTTAATTAGTTTGTTACTACTTACTACGCAAGAAAACCAAAGAAAAGAAAGAAGAAGAAAAAACCTAAAAGCTCGAGCTTACTCTAAGCCTTTTTGTCTGAGAACCCTAAATTGCTCGGGAGACAGAACCGTACGCCACTCCTCCTCTTGTTTCTGGACAAATCCAGTTGCTGGCGCAGCCGTCTCCGTCGTTCCCATGGCAAGAATAGGATTATGTAATGATGCTTGGTGAGATTGAAGAGGAAGCGAGTAACTTGTGTTTTACAAAGTTGTTTACAAAAGAAATGGTTTAATTGTGATTCAACATTAAATAGGCAATTATAGTCAAAAGAAACCAAGACAAATTTTTTGACTAAATTATAATATGGACCAAATTTTTGACCAGCACTACATTCACTATGACAACTATCTCCATAACACACAAGACCACGGTAGACAGTTCTACTTGTAACATACTAGGATTTCCGATAAATTTTGATTAATTTGAAATGCAAGATTTTCATTTTTTAGAAATTGAATCTTAAACATGGTGTAGTAGAATTTCTCAAAAAAAAAAAAATTTGGTAAATTTTCAACTCGTAGATCAAACGACTTCTACAGTTCTTTAAGTATATTCTTGATTGTTATTTCAATTCTATATGATTGTGGGAGTAATTCACATCTTTAATTATATTATCAGTATCTGGTTTCCAAAAAATTATAGAACAATAGGCCGACAAAATTAAATTTTATTAAAAAATATTATGGGTCAATGGTTCAAAATTTCCAAAAAGAATAAAAATAAAGAAATTTTAATTTAGGCAACAGCAAGGAAGAGAGAATTTAGATGGAGGTAGGACTTCTGTTTGATGTATAATATATGTTTTCATTTTATCACGCGACGTGAAAACATTTTTTCATTTTGTTATTTTATCGGTCACTTAGCAGTCACTTATTTTGACTCATAGAATTGTCTCGTTGATATTTAAAAGCCTTTCATTGACTAAGAAAATTCAAAACTTTGAACGTTGTAGATTCTGATGGTAATTTTTGAAAAGTCTAACTGACCATTCAAGATTTTAGAATACTAACTAATTTTTTTGTTTAGTTTTAAACTTTTAATCATTAATTCTCAAAGAAAAACTAAAGTTAGAATCGACTAACTAATGCAAGTAGTGTAGTCACTTCTACATATCTTTAAATCTTTAAATATGGAAAGTCAATTCTACTTTCCTCCAAAAATTGAAAAAAGGGGTTAAATACCTAGATGACCAAAAAAAAAAAACCTGTTTTTCCCCTTGTCTTTGTAAGTACCTATATTTTCCATCACATTTATCATTTTTATTTAAAATTTGACAAGATAAATGTATACACATTTTTATAAATTTTTTAATTTATTCATAAATATTTTCTTAGTTTTTAGTTTTTATTAAAAAAAAGAAATTTAAAAGATATACATTATAGTAATTTTAAATATGAGTTTTCTAAAAAATAATATAGTTAGAAACCAAAAATTTAAACAAATTACCATTCAAGGTTTTTT